AAAAAAAAAAAAAAAAAAAAAAGCAACACAAACACACACATGGATGAATTTGGGAGAGAAACAGGAGGTAGCTATGGAGTATTCACTTGGCAAGGAAGAAAAAACACTCACAAAACCCCTGCAAGACCCAGCTGAGTGATCAAGATGCTGTTGAGTGATCAGCATTTTTAAGGTTCAAGAGCACACTGGGTTTGCTCTGTTTTACTAGCAACTGGATTAGTACAGCTCTGAAACACCAACCAATCTACCAGCAGTGCTGCTCCTCAGGAGAGAGGGCAGCTTTTTTCTGTTAAGTGCAAACTATTGAAAATAACAAATTCTTCTCATGGCACTTGGCCATGACCAAGCATGTGTTGCTAACTATAGTCTTCCGTTTTAGCAAGCTTACATTTATCTTTGTGTGCAAAGACACATAAGTGGATGGCTTGGGTTGGTGACCTCTTTGCTCCCTTTAAAACTGAGGGCCTGAGGATGATTTTAACCAGGATGAGGTTGAGGGAATGAGGTAGAGTTTAAAGAGGAAAAAAATCTGCACAGAATACACTGAAATACCAAAGAGTTTGGTACAATCACATTCCTATGTAAAGAAAGAAAAGGAAAAGCAAGGAGCACATTCCTGGAACAGGGCCAGCCCTGGGCTGCCACACAAGCCTTGAACATAACATCAGGAACTCTGGAAAGACGTGATAAACCCAGGACTGCAGAGAGATAAAGCCATAACTTGGACATAAAAAATTAATTCCAACTCCCCTTCATGGGGTTAAAGAAGAAATTTCCTGGGAATGGTCTGAATAACACTTTTTCCTGCCCTCTCAGCTCCCAGCACTGGGTGATGCAACAGTCACCTGTGCCCGCTCCCACCAGCATGGTGGCACCTGGTCACGGTCACACCGGCAGAATCACTGCAGTGGTTTCAGTCTGTCTCATCTTTTGGGATGCAGCAATCCCAGGCACAGGGCTTCCCTGAAAGGCCCAGTTTGCAAACTGAGACTGAACCCTCCCCACAGGCTGAGTGCAGGGACATGCAGCCCACCGGCATCACCGCGGAACAGCCCACAACACAGAGGAATTTCAACAAAATCCCCACTTGCTTCCAAAAACAAACCCACATTCCTAGTGTGTATACTCCTGTATTGTCAGAGAGATTTCAGGAGTTTCCTCTTAATCCTGAGCAAGTATTTCCATGCCTCATAGCTTGTAAACAGGCCACAGCTCCAACCACTTGCCTGGAGCAGCCTGAGCCCCACCTGACTGAAGGCACTTGCCTTGGGCATGCTGATTTTTTTGAGGGGTGGCTCAGTCCCCAGGCAGTGAGGTGCCATGTGGGCAGATAGCACACCAGGCATGGAAAAAGCAGGAGAAAGCATAGGACTATTTGTGCACAACTGCATCTCACATGGGCAGACAGGTTTGTTCCCACCTGAAGGCTCAGCCCTCACAGGCAAGCATCTTGCTTTTTTATGAAGTGTTGTATAGACAGAGCAGGTAAGAGGCCAAGCTGCTGTGCTCTGTCCTGCCAGCCTCTGGGACAGAGGTGATGGACATTCGCAAACTTTGCTCCTTCAAAACCAGCCCACGTCCCTCCTGGCTGCTGCTCCTGCTTAGCAAAGCCTGGGAACTAAAAATAAAAATGTTTTTTTTTTAAAGGGTATTTCACCTGAAAGAGCATCCTGCTAGCATCCCCTGATTAATCTTCTCACAAAGACTATGAATGTTAGCACAAGATCCAGGAAAGAATAAAATTGTTTTAACTAAAGAGGAGCGAGCAGGACTAGAAATGGAAGGGACCAGGAACAGGAGAAAGGAAGAGTCACTTGCAGAAATCCCAAGTAGTCAAAGAGCCAAAGAGCCACTATTTCACAGGAGAGCAGGTTTTCTTGCCACCATCATTCAAGTGACACTACAGCACAGGCAGCCAGGCACAGTCCCTGGACACAAGTTCTTCGCAAGGCTGTCCAAAGATAAGAATAGTGGAGAAATGTTTTCTCAGCTGGAGCTGTCTGTGAGACCAGAGCAGTGTGACTACCCAGCCTCTACATGAAGCCTTCTCTCCACTCATCATCACCTGTGCATGCTGCTCAGCACTGACCCAGGGAGGAATTCACCTGCCAAGAGCAAGAGCAGCCCAAGGAAAGCCCTGCCTCAGGAAGCTTCAAACCAGGCTGTGAGCACCCCCTCCCTGTGTGGCTACAAGGAAAGCTCTTACTGCTTGATCCCTTGCTTCACTTCCAAGTTCTGTAATTTTTTTGACTTTGTAATCCAAGACAAGATCCCACCTCCTTCCCCCACCTCCCTTCTTTGGGATGAGCCCTGCAGAGAGCTGGGGCAGTACCAAACCCTTCTTGGCCAAGCATGACTCTATATGAAGTGGGATTTTTGAAGACTAATGCCCTCA